TATATTTATTAACTTCGATAATTTATTTCTTTTAATATTTCATTTAAATCCCTTTATTTATTCTTTATGTGAACTATTTTGAAGTTTCAATTCTTTTGTCAAAAACTGCAGTCTGAGAGAATTTTTTTTTTCCAGAAAAAAAAAAGTATAAACATATTACGGGGGCCTGAGTCTGAATGGATTTTTTTTTCCTTTAAAAATATATATATTTGAGGGGCCTCATTAAATGGTGAAATTGAAATAAAATCTGAGTTGTGTGATGAGTTGGGATCATCTTTAAATGAAGAAAATAAAGACGGGGAGAGAGTAGAAGGGCGAGAAAATGCATCTCATGGCTTTTTATAAACGCTTGTTGTACGTCGTCGCTTGACTTTCTCACGGCATACTGACACTGAAAGTTAACGCCTCTTTGGAGGGTATGCTATATTTGGCAGGTGATTGCCCATTGCAACGACAAAAACGACAGCTTTATTTTTCGTCATTCAAATAAATTGAGCAAAAGATTGTCATTTTTTGCATTAAAAAAAAAAAAAAATTCTTTTTCGTCTGAAAATTTAAAAGCTTTATTGTTGATATGGAAATATAAATTCACTTAAATTTTTATTATATTATTATTTTTTAATAATCCAGTTTTAAATAATTTTTTTGTGTAAAATTATTCCTTTAAAGGTGTCTTATTTTTCTTATAATTTTCTCTAAATAAAAATCCGAGTTTGCGGTTAAAGTTGAATTAAAAAAAAAAAACGTGAATTTATATTTTGTGCTCAGTGTAATAAACATTTTGCTTGTTTACCAATTACTTTACATAACATTGTGTAATCCATCGAATCCATTATCCAAAAATAAGGTTATTTCTTTATTTTCTTAATTTAAGAATGCTGCAGATATTCCTTATTGCTTCTCCAAATTATTTTTTTTGGAGAGAAAAAAATTTGAATTTGCGATAATTTTCCCGTAACAAATGGTTGCATTGTAATAATTTTAAATTTTTTAGAATTTAGAAACTTTCCTTAAATAAATTTTTATTATAGAACTCAAAATTCTCTTGTACGTTAACATGAAGAGACAAGGTTCTTCGGAGCAGACGATTTAGCGATTTTATATTTATCATATTAAATTTAATTTTTATAATCTGTTTTTACTATTGCCTTTTTTTAATTTTAATAAACTTCAGTAAAACAAAGTTAACTTTTACTTAAATCTACCTTGTTATATGTTTGCAAATCTGAGATTTTCTTGAGAATTTTTTTTTTCCTCATTTACATTTTTAACCATAATTTTTTTTAAAAAAGAAGAAAAAAAAATTGGGGGGTAGAATGAAAGTGTATGGAGCGAAGTATAAATTTCTTTATAGAATTAGAATGTTATTATAATTATCTATGTTTCTAATTTATAATATTTTATATGATTAAAAAAAAAGAGACTTATAATGTTTATTGCTAAACCATACTTTTTTTTTGTTGAAAAGTTGCAATTTAATTTTTTTTTATTCCACACGTTGCTTTAGCTTGCAAATATTCGTTAGTCGAGCTGAACGATATCAGAATTTAAATATCCCCAAAAATATAGATATTTCGCCCTATAAATCAGTGCTTTTCAAGATAGCTGATTTAAATTTTAATATTGGCGATATTTTCTGTGTCCAATTTAAGAAACAAGCATTAAACTTTTAATTGTATTAAAAATTGAGTAACATGAACTTAAAATATTGCAACATCACGACGCTCACGATAATTGTCTATAATTATCTTGTCTTATTTGATATTTATGTTATACACGATATTTATCTGTAGGTTTAGTATTTACGACAGATCGTGAGAATGCATTAAAAAAAATACCGTTTTTGCGATGTCTTATATTGATTTTTCATAATATATCGAGCAAATAGTATATAAGTGAAAATCTATTTTTTAAGGACAAATATAAGAAGGACAAATATAATATATATTTCTTCCGCATTATGCAGTTTTATTATATGCATGGATTATTAAAATTTTGCGCACTTCAAGTTCGCCTAAAGGCGAATTATTGTCACTGCTCTTACTATTATTGTTTCACTTATGCTTTTATATCTATTTCTTCCGAATTGTCTGGCGTTTTTCTGAAGTTAACTGAAGCTATTTTGAGTAGGGGGGAAAAACGTTGTTTTCACTCTTCATTGTTACAGGACTAGTGTCTAAGAAATGGATGACGTCATATGATTACAATTTATTTTTGAAATTATCTCTGGAAGTCTATTGCGTTGAAATGAACCTTCAGGTTTGTTTTGAGTTTTTCCGTTTTATAGCTCGAATTTTGTTTCGTTCAATATTTTAATATTTTACTCTCGATTTATTTATCATTAATTAGATCCATGAAAAAAATTTTCTTATTAAGAAGACACATAATTGCATTGATTCTGTTTCTTGAGCATGCCTATATGCGAAAATGAAATTCCTTCATTTTATAAATCGCGTGTTTTCATATCCACATATTGGCGATTTTCTTTCCCCTTAGCTTAGAACATGTTAACGAACAACGGTGTTTCCATTAACAACCTGTTTTCTCCTAGGGGTTGCCAATTCTTTTACGAGTATGCCACGGGCGTCTGTCTGGATATTTTTCTTTTTTCCTTTCTTTTTACCCTTTTATCTTTTTTTTTTTCAGTCCCGGAAAATGTTATGTTAGAACAAGAAATTGCCATGTCATTGACCCTGAATATTATATTTATAAAAATATATTACCTTGGAATCTGATTTTTAAAACGAGAAAAATTAAAGTACAAAAAAATACAGTATTAAACAGCAGAAATAATTTAATTAAGTGTTGTACTTTGCAGTTTTTGAATTTGTATTAAGAACATTTATTTTTAAACTTATAATGAAATTTTTTTTTTATCGATATTTATTATGAAAACTAATTCTATTCACTACCTATCTAATAATTAAGAATGAAAATATTCTAGATTTAAATCCCCACCCCAAAAAATGTGATATGAATATATTTATTTTTCGATATTCTGTTGAGTGTGTGAAAAGTTTTTACTTTCAAACTAGATTTTAAAAAAAATCTTGTAGTATTAATTTTGAATGGTGGAGTTAATTAATATGAGCTACATGAAAGGAAAAAAAATTAAAATTGTTGAGTTAAATTTAATGGAGTGTGGGAGAGGGGGGACAGAATTCTAGGACTCCTGTTGTACCACACTTATTAAACTCAGTTTTTAATCTAGTCTTTAATTTTTACGTAACAGATCGCTAATATTAGTTAATTTTTTTTTTAAATTTACCTTATAACTTACTATTAAAAATTATTTATGATAAAATAATGTCTGTGCAAAACATTTTATTGATAAATTTTTTCACTCTACTGAATGTCTCTAGTGCTCCGAAATATTTTCTTTTTATATTTTTCTTTTTTGATAGACTAATTAAATTAGTGAAAATCTTAAGTTTTTGGAAATCAATAAATGTCATAAATTATTAGTGATAGCTCCATGATTCTGAGCTTTTGAATGATTTGTTTTTAAATATCAAAATACTGATACCTAAAAAGAATTTTTTTTTTTGGGGGGGGGGATCACCTCTAAGAAATGGAAACACTGATTTTTCATTCAGGATTAGGTGTTTAATATAATTTATTGAATTATTTTATACAAGTTTTTTTGTTTTAAATCCAACTACTTTTTAATACAAAACAGACCATCACCAGGTATCCTTGACATTAACTTTGTCCTCTGAGGTTTTATTTATTTTAATTGGGATATCTATAACTTCCATGTGCCCGAGTTACATTTTCTCCTTTTACTTTCCCCTCCATGTAGATTTGTCCGTTTTATGTAAATCTGAAATCCACAATTCTATGAGATGCCCTAGTAATAGTTTAGATTTCTACTTAAATTTTTTTAACAGCCACGAATAAAAGCATAACTTAGTTTCTTTACCTTGATGAATGTGATATTGTAAATTTCATCTCACATTTTCAGTATATTATTATTATGACTTTTCTTTTGCCTTTAAACTCAGCATTCAATCTTAGACTTTAATTTCTGGGAAGCCTTTTATTGTAGGGGTTTGTCTTATTCAGGTAAATGCTAGTGCCACAGTAATCTGCTCCTCCTGTACTTAGTATGCAACTTTCTTAAATATGTTTTTAAGACGTGGTTCCATATTTCATAGTAGTTGTATATTGCTACTTTCAAATCCTTTCATATTGTTCAAATGAAACTTCTGTTGGACAAGACAGTAAAAACTGTGATTTTTTTACAATAGATTTTATTATTGTGTGTCCAAAACACAATTTCTTCCGCAATCTAACAGTCAGACTTAGATAAAATGAAAAAAAAAAAAAAAAACTCTACGAGCACAAAATTCCAAATTTTCTGCAACTCTTGTAAGTAGTTTCAACCCTTTTGTCATCGTCTAATTTTGACAAATTTTTTTCAAAAATTGCTGTTTGTTTTTAAAAGTGTTTAATTTTTATAAAACACTATATTGAATGTCATACATACCAGTAAATATTTCTTTAAAACTAAGCAGTTTTTTGAAGATATAAAACTAGTTATTGACTTATGTTATTTTATCTTATGCTCCTATTTCACTGTATATTTAAAATCTTAAGTTGCTCAGAAATATTTCAGTGCAAACATTAAAATTTTTTTTTCATGATGAGTAATGCTATAGAAATCTGCTTTCTGAATTTAAACATGTTTTGTTCAAATAATTTTCTCTTTAAGCTTTATTATTTTTTTTATTGGTGACTTTCATACTCTTTTAAAGATTTTTTTTTCTCCTTGATTTAAATAAATATTTGCTGAACATTTATTTAAATCAAGAGAGTAGTATGGTTTTTATTACATGGTAGTTTTAAAAAAAGTTTACAGAAAATAAAAGACATGATTTAAATCGTTGGTTTTTATATTCTGATTTCATGAAATGATACTCTTTTTAAAAATAATCTTAATATTATATTAGATTCATATGTCTTTGATGGCATCGTTATAAAATGTACTCTCTTTGCAGCTGGAGGTGTCGGAAAGAGTGCCTTGACTATTCAATTAATACAAAATCAGTAAGTGTGATTGTTATTATTTTTAAATACTGAAAAAATTTTAGAAATTAAAGACACACTTGAAAAAGTATAAAATTTTGAAATAATAACTGTTTCTAACAGAGATTGTAGATTGGAAATATTTTGCATCTTTTATTCAAATATACGTTCTTAAAAGAGTTCAGCTTACAAGTTTTTAACAATATCATTTTGTTGTATATGAAAATTTAATGAACTTAATTTTTTTAAAGAAATTAAAAATTAAAACCAATTTATACTAAATATTTTCCTGTCTTGAAAAAATAAAATATGAATATTTGCGATGTATTTTGAAAAGTTAAATAAATACTAGTGATCTGTAAAAAAGGCAGGAACATGTATTGTAAATTTTATTTTACTTTTCAAAGTAACTGTCATCACATGGAATTACTTTTTCCTGAATAATGTATATTATTTTTATAAAAGTTAGAGTTTTTATTTGTTATCTTGGTTTTCATTGGGTCAGAAAACTTAAATTGTCAGAGAATAAAATAATTTCTGGTCAAAATCGTGCAGCAAAGTTTTCCTAAATTCTGGATATAACAATAAGTGACCAATGAAGTTCAAAGTAAATAAGTTAAACACCTATTTTTGTTATTTATTGAAAGAATTAATTAAAATTTGAATATAAATTGGTGAAAACTATTTTAGTTTAAAGAATTTGTTTCACATTTCTTCTTTTACATTTATAAATGCAGTTCAATCATTCTATGTTTTTTAAAATTATACTTTCTTTTGGTTCTTGATCGTAAGCAAAATCTAAAATTAATTACTATACTGATGGATTATTTGACTTTTTATTTTTTTACTTTCTCTAATTTATGTGAAAAATATTGCTTTTGTCAATAATTTATATTACTGTGTATTTGAAACTCTACACATTGAAACACCTAAAATTTTATTTTTTACAAAATTTAATGTTTGATAATTTTTCTGTCGCAAAGCAAAGTATATTTAATTGCTAAATTTACTAAAAAAAAAAGAAAAGAAATTTTTTTTTTATTTCTGATGAAATATCGCTGTGTTTTGCAAAAATGTAATCTGGGATTTGTAGAAATCTTCTGGCAAAGTTGGGGAATTTTATTTCTAAAATTGAGTGGGCAAGTTTTGTTCATCTGTTAAAAGTTCCTATGTTAATAATGGAAATGGTGAAAAATATCATTGTAAAATAAGGGCTATAGTTTTGCGATATTGAAAAGCTACTCCAATGCTGCATTGTTTGGACTTGTAAAACTTGCGAAAATAGAAAATTATTTATTGATTTTATTATTTTTTATTTTTATTAACATAAGAGAGCACAGCAAGAATTTAAATTGGTATAGAGAAGTGCATAAAAAATGGAGATGAACAATATGGCTAATAAAGGAATTTGATGTAAATTTACATTAGGTTATCTCATTTAAAAAATAGTGATTAGTTGGAAGATGCACATAAACATAGACACATTGTTGGAAACCATTTATTCGCATTGTTGCCATATAACTGTTGCAACTAAAATAATACCTATAACTTTTACAAACATAATAGCATAAGTAAAACAAAATACATAGTTTGTTAGATGTGCTTCAACTACTTTCATATTATTTATTGTATTTTTTCTTTTCTAGTTTTGTTGATGAATATGATCCTACTATTGGTATGTGTAACTTTTTATTTTTTAATATTATAAAATTTTGTTTAAAACAATGTTTTGTTGAGTTAAAAGAAAGCTGCTTACTTTAAACTCAACTATACATACATATTAAATTACACTTCAAAACTTTGAAAGACAGAGAAAGACTTTCTCCTTATTGACCACCGTAGTTAGTATGGATTAATATTTAAGGATGGGGAGAAATGACATAAATGCCAACTGCTCTGGATTCTACAAAATATTTTTAAAAAACTAGAAAACCACAGACTAAGATTTGTAGATTTTAGGTTATTTTGCCAACTTTTTAAATGTACCAATGTGACGTGTCACATAAACCATAGAATAATTTAGAAGTAGTGGTAAGTAAAAACCCTATAAATCGAATTTATTAATCCAAAAATTGTACATTAAAAGATTACGACTCAAAAATATTTATCTGCTATACGGAGCAAGTTGGCATCCGTGAAGTGACCATCACTATAACTACCCAGGACCATTTAGATAAGAGTTGCTTTCCCATAAGATGAATTATAAGGAAAATATGTGTAGTAAAGGGATGCCCCCATTTGTGTTTTATGCTCGGTCTGAAAAGAAGTGATCAATCAGTGCATGCCGATTTAGTAACTGCAAGCGATGGTGATGAGAAAAGTTACTTAAGTTGTGCTAAAGAGTTAGGAATTAAAAGAGTTTAAACTTTGGTCCAAAGGACGAGTAACTAGAAGTTTTCAAAAGTTAATATGCATTTTCACTGGTTCCTTATATAAACCTTATAGGATTTTTAAAAGAATACTTAGTTTATAAAATAAAAAAATTTAATTTCAAGAAGGTAAATTAACGAAGGACCGCAAATATATACACATGAATATGGGGAGGGGCATATAAATTCTAACCAAAAAGAAGCTTACAGAATGAAAGTGTAAAAAATACACACAGTAATATAAATTTGAATGAAATATTTTAAAGAAAATTTAAAATGTTTAAGCAAAAACCAAATTAAAAGAATTTTTTATTGCGTTCAGAAGTTCCCAGGAGCCGTACATCAACCGTCGGTGGGCCGCATGTGGCCCACCGACGGCATTTATTGACGGTATTTTAAGTTACAAAATAAGACACAGAAACACCTTCTCTGATAAGTACCTTTTTTTCCGAACTTGGATTTCTGACCCTCAAAATACTGCTATCTGTGAAATATGGTCCCAATAGTTTTATCCAGAAGAATGGTCCAAAGTTTGGATCCCTTAATGTTAATTTTACTTTTTGCATATATATCATATCTGGATAACTTTTTAAGCAGATTGAAAGATTTTCACACACAATTATAAAATTTGTTTATCCAAAGATAATTCCATGCAAAAAAATAAATTTCAGTAAATATTTATTATTTTATTCTATTAATAGTTTAAAAAATTTTGAATTGTAAGGTGTAAATATTTTTTGTATCAAAATGCAAAATTTGAACAAAATCAGTAGAATAGTTTCTGAGAAATCTAGTTTTAAGTATCTGACTTTTTTGAAATTCAATTTCTCAGGAACTATACGACCAATTTCGCCCAAATTTAAAATTTTTTTTATGCCATACAATTCAAAATATTTTAGACTATTGAATAAAATAATAAAAGTAATAAATATTTACTCAAATTTTTTTTTTGCATTTAAGTATCTTTGGATAAAAGAATTTTATATTTGTGTGCAAAATTTTTCTAATTCGCTTAAAAAGTTCACAAGATATGGCAAAATACACAAAAAGTAAAATTAACATTATGAGGTCAAAACTTTGGAGCTGTCTCCTGACCAAACTATTGAGACCATATTTCCTAGATTGGGGGTCAGAAATCTGAATGCATCGAATAAAAGGTGTGTTTATTCAGAGAAAGTACATTTTTGTTTCTTATGTGGTAACTTAAAATATCATCTGCTCTAATTAGCATATTTGAGGTCACCCCCTCGAACCATTAAGAATGAATCTGAAAGCGTGAAGATCTGATCATTAAATCAAAAATTATTAAGGATGGTATTTTTTGGGGGGGGGCAAACTGAACATTACTTGTCACATTTGTCTCGGTTAAGGGATTAATTGTGATTTTTATTGCACACTTACTCATTTATAGTAAAACTGGTTTTGATTGAAAATTCCAAGATTTGTTTAATATGGCAACAGATATTAATTTTCACTAAGGTAAAACTATTGTTTTTCCTTCACTTGGGAATTAATAAATTTTACCAATTATGAAAATGTATACACTAAAAGCACTCAGTTTGATTTGTTTTTAATAACCAAGTCTTTTGTATAAAGTTTGGGATATTTTTAAAAACCTCTGCAATAAAAAGCCCTTATATTCTATTTTCTCTGGTTTTATTCCAATAATGCAAATTCCATGAGGTACGTGCATTTTATTTCTTCTGATGTTTGATTAGTAAAGTAGTTATATTAATGCTTTGCCAACCAATCAAAGAAATCTCCTTGTTTTCTAAACTATCAGTACATGTGTGATTTGGAAGAACTCCCTGTTTGGCAATAGTTATAGCTTTTAAAAAAATGTGTGTGGGGGGGGGCTGCTAGATTATACTCAGGCCCACTTTGTTCGACCAGCAGAGTTTCTTTATTTTGCCAAACTAAAGATGAAAAACTATACCACAATTATTCCCTTTCTAATGATTTTTTCAATGATATTATCTCTTGAATTTTATAAATGATGTAATGAAATGTATATAAATGATTCTAATTCCATACTATAAAATGATAGAAATCTGTAGTTTTTTTTTTCTTCTTCCTTCTAATTTTTACTGTAAAGTGTTAATTTTAGTCAATCAATTTAAAGATGAGAACAGTACTACAATTTCTAATGATTATTTTGAATGATATTAATATTATGAATGATATTAATATTATAATGATGTAATGAAATGTATTTAAATTATTTTAATTTAATACTATAGTATGATCAAAATCTGTAGTTCTTTTTCTTCTGCTACGTTAATAAATTTAAAGATGAAAACTATACCGCAATTATTCTCTTTCTGATAATTTTTTCAGATGATATTAATATTATCTCTTTAATTTTATTAATGAGGTAATGAAATGTATTTAAATGACTATATCAATATTATAAATATGTAGTTTTTTTTCTTCTACTTTTAACAAAGTGTTTTAATTAATCAATTTAAAAATGAAAACTGTACCAGAATTATTCCCTTTATGATGAATTTTATTAATGATGCTATTAACAATATCTCTTAAATTTTATTAAAGATAATGAAAGGTATTTAATTTATTCTAATTTAATACTAGTGAGTCATGGAAATTGGTAGTTTTTTTTTCTCGAATTTTCACACCATGTCAGTTTTGTTCCTTCGTCTTTATATTCCCTCTTTTTTTATTTTACTGATAACATTATGGTTTCTTTATTGTAACTAATTTTTCTATGGACATTGTTTAAGAGTTAAATTATTTTGTTTTATGCTAACAGAGGATTCATACAGGAAGCAAGTAGTCATAGATGGAGAAACATGCCTTCTAGACATTTTAGATACTGCAGGTCAAGAAGAGTATAGGTAAAAAGAAATTATGAATTTGCTGGGAGATCTAAATTATAACTTCAAGTTTAATCATTATTAATATAATTATCTTGTCTATCTCATTTTCTTAAAATCTAACGTATTTTTCTGTTTTATTAGTCTATCTTCCATAGTTTTATGCCAAAGTGTACAGTATTACAATTTCTGACTATAATATTTTATGATTTTTCCTAGTAAAATCTTTAATTTAACAACAATCCATAGTTCCTATTTGTCAAACGGGACATATGCTTGCCTTTTTATGCAAATCCTCACAAATAGGCAAAATATTCATTACTTCATGGTGATTCAAAACCTACCTGAAATGTTGAATGCTGATTGTTTTTATATGATAGCTGTTAATACAGATTTTTTTTCAGGAGCAAATAATTTAATATATAGTGATGATGCATACTATAAAAAGTATGCATAGTAAACTGAGAAAAAAATTAAATAAAATAATGAAATAAAAACTAAGTTTGAAGAGACTCTATATATAAAAATGAAGGGCTTGCTTTTTTTAAGACGTCACACACTTTTAATTCGACGATAGTACTCGGAAACACATTTTATTTTTAACTGATTATGACTGCAATATAAAATTGAGTGAAAGTTTTGTATGTTTGGAAGTGAAAAATTATTATATTTTGTTGCATTTTATCTATGAAAACTCTCGTCGAGTATGGCCAACATTTGCTCATCACGTCATTTTTCTTGCCCAAACAAACAAAAACATAATTGATATGTTATATGGAATATTACATCTTTTTTTCCCCAATGAAATACTTCATAATTAACAAATCAATTAATTAATAAATTTCATAATATCTATGTTCCTTTTTTTATTATTAAAATGTGCAGAACAGGCCATCTACCTTCCGGTTATGAAAGTTTTTATGACCTTTATTTGATAACTTTCAAGTCTTTTTGAGCTAACTAATGTTTAGGATAAAATTTCTCCAACGAATCTGATATTGAGAAATAAGAATTTGTTAAGAAAATGTGGTTATTAGGAGATCCACTGAAAAGATTTTTGTTTGAGATGCTAGACACTCTGACGATAGCTATAGCCATCATTTGTTGCAACTTGTTTAGAAAATACCAGTTTTTATGTAGTTTTACTAATACTAAAATTAAAATACATATTTATGAGAATCCTGTTTTTAATTATCGATTACCAGGTCCCTCTTAAAAAATAATTTTCATTTATAAAAATTATGTATGGAAAGAAAATAAATAAATTTTGGGAAAAAAATGCAATACCACGAATCAATTGAATAAATCTTATTACTAGTCTTAAGCTGAGAATCTTTTGTTAAAAATGTTTATTTCATTTAAAAAATAAAAAAAATATTTAATTTTTTTTGTTTTAAGTTAGAAATTCCATCATTTTCATTTTAAAATTTATACTTCTATGTTGCTTTAAAACTAAAGATTTATTTTGTTTTCATTAAATGAATTTTTTTCTCAGTACAGTTTTGACTTTTCTAATGGTATACTTTTTCAGTGCTATGCGAGATCAGTATATGAGGACTGGGGAAGGCTTCCTCTTAGTATTTGCCGTTAATAATACAAAATCGTACGAAGATATTAGTATGTACAGAGAACAAGTATGTGTATTTTATTCTTTTATAGTTATCTTACTTTCCATTAAAATTTATGTTTTTTAGTTTTTTGTTTTTCTTTCAATATTAAGTAGCAAGACTTATTAAATCTATTTATGTGAACATTTATCGTAAAAAGTCTTATTTTTGCACATATTTCCTGCAAACTCTGCAATTTACTTTCTACAAGTTTTGTGTTATCATATTATTCACATAATCTGAGCAGTTCTATACATTATTATTTTTATTAGTTAAAAGAAATTATTAAACTATGAATAAATGCTTTTTCAGAATAAAGATCAGCAAACTTTATATTTGTGCTAAAAATGTTAATATCAGTTAACATTTGTTATGATATTACTATGAAGAGAAGATGTGGCATGTTTCACAAATCCTCATAGATTATTTGATAACCTTCATGGCCAAGTTTTTGCCTTCTTTATGCCCAGAAGTCTGGCACCATAATGTTATTTCTAAGAAAAACAAGCACTCATATGTTGACTTTAAATGAGATTAAAAAATTTGTAGTTTTTCCATTTTTTTGCACATTTAATTATGATATATATATGAATATGGCTATGAAATGACGCAAAAATTAAATGTAATTCAAGTCTTAAAATTACTTTCTGGTGAAAATCCGAAGACTTTTTTACCTTCTTAGCTAGACTGATTTTTCTGCTTATGTCTGAGAAAGGAGAAATAAAAAAGTAATTTATATCCATTGATCTTGTTTAAACTTGAAAATTTTTGTTTACAGTCTATGTATTTAGCTTAAAATATTTCATATCCTAATTTTAATTAATTCTTGAAATAATCATTTATGCTAATATTTAGACACGTTTTGTTTTATGTTTATTTATCATGTCATTTATGCATTTGTCAATTAAGCATGGGTAATACAAATCATGTGGGTAGATTAATGAAAATAAAAATTGCTCAGAAGACCTAATTAATATTTATCTTAATAAATTTTTTAACACAAATATAAGTACTGCATGATTGGGGCTCTGCGGAGAAAAGTTTTTCTTTTAAAGGGTGTTATAGGTGCAGTTCTCAAATAGTTAGAGAACTGCTGCTGTAATTAATGATATAATGCAAAACATAAGGTATTGGTGTGAAAAGTTTGCATTTTTTTTTTTGTTTTCTTTTATTTTCTTGAATGTACAAAAAAATTTCAATATACCTATGTATTTTCTACTTTTTGTTTTCAGATTAAACGTGTTAAAGATGCAGATGATGTTCCTATGGTTTGTAAGTATATGAATTTTAGAATTAAAAAATTAGTGTTTGCTCTTCTTAAAATATGTATTTAAACTCTTTCTGTTTTTCATTTTCAGTGGTCGGCAATAAATGTGATCTCCCAATGAGAATGGTGCACATGCATGGGGCTGCTGAATTAGCTAAAAGTTATGGTATTCCGTTTATAGAAACATCTGCCAAGACTAGAATGGGTGTAGACGACGCCTTTTACACATTGGTTCGAGAAATCCGTAAAGATGTAAGCTTCTTTATAAGATTACAGAGATGCCAACTTGCTCCGGACAGCGAATAAATATTTTTGAGTGGTAGTTTTTTAATGTGTGAACCTTGGCGTAATAAACTCAATTTACTGGGTTTCACTCGCCGATATTTCTAAATAAATCAAAGGCATGTATAATAAGCCGCTTTATTACAGTTACGCTGTGTTGAGCCTTTTAAAAATTTGACAAAATGAACCGAAAGTCAGGAAATTTCTGTTTATACTTCTCTACCGCTTTTTAAACTGTCTAATCTAATCCAGAGCAGTTGGCATCTCTAAGATTATGATCATATTCATGCATTTAAATCAATTTATTGCTAAAAGTATATTTCTTGCTTTCAATGTGTATAATCAATATTAGTCTGATAAGCAACTCAATATTTAGAGATCACTGCTTCTCTGTAATATATTGCAAAACTGACGTTTTTATTTTTCACTTTGTGAGATAAATACAGATAAGCCAATTAAAATGAAAGGAATTTTCAATCTGTTTATGTTAAATGTTAGTTAAAATTAAAAGGTGTTTATTAGGTGCTCTTTTCCTCAAAGTTATTTTTTTAAGTCAATACAGGTTCCACAACCTTTAGTTCATTGGCATTGTCTTTTCTCCTTCCTTTTCCTCTTTGTTATGTTTATCTGTTGTCAGATATTTATTTTGGTGCTGTATAACTGTAACAAGGACGCCCGGTGGCTGAGTGGTAGTGCTTCGCGCTCCTGTGCTACAGCTCCTGGGTTCAATTCTCAGGCCGGGCGAAGTTGACTCAGCCTTTCATTCCTTCAGTGGGTCGATAAATTAATACCAAGCATGCTTGGGAACTAAATACTGGAGGTTCCGCGTTCGGCAGACCACCTGACCGGAACATCTGGTCCTGCACCTCAGAGCCCAAGGTCAAGAAAACTGAGATGGGCACAAAAGTCCTTGGCCCTCTATGAGCTGTTGTGCCACTGAGTTTTGTTTATAACTAACAAGTTCTCGTGCCATTATAATTTAATGTATCATTCATTCAGTTCTCCTTTTCAGTTCATTCACACAAGTTTTTTGTATTTAAAATATTAATTTTATTTTTATAAAATCTTACTTTATCTAACTCATTAATAAGCTCATTTTAATCTTTTTGATTTGAATAAGCTGGTGACTGAGTATTTGCTCAAAATAGGAAGTAGGTATACTCTATCTGATTCTCAAGTTAATAGATTACCTGTCTTTTTTTTCTCCTTAGAAAGTTACTTTTGGCAGTGTAGTAGTAGTTTAAGGAGAAGATTGTGACAAAATATGCAATTTTTGAAAAGTATTTGGGAGAAGTTGACATACTCTTTAATATGATTTATAAAAATTTTCAAGAAATCAGTAGCTTTAAATTAAATGCATGATAAGAAATGCGTGAGATTTATATGTATATTTAAAGAAAAGTAATCTATAGATTGTATAACAATAATTTGTTATTAGTACAATCATTTAAAATAAAAAAAAAGATTTTTTTTTTAAATTTTAAATTATGTTTACCCATTACAGTTATTCTAGTTAAAATATAAAAATAAAAAGATGAAAAAAAAAAACATCTCAGTGTGAAAACATTTAGAAGGTCTAAGCAATTTGGTTTCAATAAAATTAAACTAAAGAAGGTTTTTAGTACTTCTCTTTTCTATAACAATTTTAATATTTTTGACTGGGCATAAATTATATATTTTGTTTCTTAAATAAATCCTTGAACCGCTTCAGTTAAATTTGAATGACATTTAAGACAGACTTTAGTTTTTGTTTTCCCTAACATTTTGCGAAGTTAAATTAAGTTTATTTTTAAAAAACAAAAAAAATTATAAAGTTAGGACAAGTAATAGTGAAGCAAAAAAAGTAAAGATATAAATAGATTCATGAGAAAAATTAGTGATTTTTCATGAGTATGCTAGTATTATTCACTGATTGGTGTAAAAAGTTGTGCACAGTTAGCTGTTATTTTTATCTTGTTTGCTGTAAAAAATTAAATTAATAAAATGAAGAAAAATTTTTTAGAAAAAATAATCAAATCATTGATTTAATATATATGTCAGTATCATGGAAAGGTGCAGTTTGCATTCAATGAGCTATAATTTTCTAAAAATTCTGGTAAACAGCACTAGAGTATATTAATTGGTCCAAAAAATCAATTCAGTCTAGAATTTTTTTGCGCAAATAATAAAAAAAGCTTACAAATATGCAACAAAAGTATTTCTTTGAATTTCAAGCAATATTAATATTTTTATTTAAATGAACAGAATTTTGGTACAAAGTATTGTACATTGTCAGATTATTCTCATTTATGCTTCGTCCTTCATCACTTAATACATTTTTATACTTAGAGAACGATCTTTCTGCGTCAACGCTGTTTGTTTTTAGGCACCGACAAACTTCGAATTGCCACTTTTGCCAATTTTGGAGCGTTCGATCTTTGATTTCCGAAACTCTATCAATTTTCCTTCACCAACGCGCAACTCCTTGACTGTTGCTTTGTAAGAAGTTATTGCTGTGAAAACTCAAACATTCTACATTCAAACTACTAGTTACAAGTCCCTACTAACTACTAGTCCCCCNCCCCCCCCCCGCCTTCATCTAAGAAACTGATCCATATTTAAGAAATCGCAAGATGCCGCCTAGGAAAAAATAACTGGATATGTGGAAAGGCTGTAGAAACTTCATTGCCCAGTGCCATAGCATGTATAACAATTTTTCTGTCAAAGATTTGATTTATAACATTTTCCTTCTTTTGTGATTCCAATTTCTTTTGTATTCTTACTGACTTCAGTAAGGTAATTACCCTCCCTAAGTGTAGAAAGACCACCTTACTTGCCAAGATTGTGATTATCTCTTATCTCTGAACTATTTTCATGTCATGTTGCTATTGATTCGCTCCCCTAAATATCTAATAAATTTTACATGTTCAATTTAAGGTTCAGGAAAATAAAAAATTCTGTTTAATAAAAAAAAATCAAATTTTAAGCAATTTTCGTGCAAGTCAAGACGTATTGAGAAGTTCACGAATTTTAGAAAGAAAGATGACAATTTCGCGGAAATTCGCGCCGCGACTGACCTGCATCCCTAACCATGGTCCATGACTACTTTAATGTTAGCATCGAGTTATGAGTAGCAAGACAGTTTATTTTGCATTTATCATTTAGATTTAAATCAAAGATAGTATATTGTTGACAAGTAATAAGTGTTTTATAGCAGTTTTTATTCTAATATTAATTTTAAGTATTTTTTACCTCTCAAATCACGTGATTACTATCTTTTCACCATTAATGTTTATTATTATATAACTACATTTACTGTCTTTGTTATCTATTTTATTTTATAACCGTCGTTGAACAGCCGGCCCAATTTTTCGGTTTATGACTAGTAATGTTCAACTCTGTAGCCTTGTCATTTTGAACCCAATCCAGAAGACTAGGGAACTCCTGGATCAAGTATTGAGAGAAATTTGCTTTCGTGGAGGCCTTTTTGATGAAACTAACCCACATTTGCCTTACATGGAGGAGGAAGACCACGAGAACCTCCCACTGTTAGCCTGAAAGCAAAGGAACTCTAACCCATGATCCGTCTACCAATGAGGATATTTCACGCTAGCACTGTGGTCGGTTCAAGCTGGGTGCTGATTTTTATCGACCAGCCACCGCTGGGATTCGAACCAAGTTCACCTCATTGGAAGGCAAACGCTCTATCCTCTAAGCCATCGCGGCTCCATTCGCTTTCTATTGTCTTTTCTTTATTTATTAAGCCGAATGGCTCAAAATACATCAGATATAGTAATCCACAAGTATGGGTGCTAAACAGCTTGCCGCACTTAGTGTAGAAAACACTATTCATAAGTAAAAAACTCTCTTTTGGCATCTCAAATGCCTAATTGGTTCAACATTCAGTTTTTTATATACCTTATTTGCTAAATTCTAATTAATGTAAATATTAATGTATGGTAGTAAAGAGGTTTTAAATTTTGATGTTATTTAGGTCTGCCATGTAAATAGGATTGACTTGTAATGATGTTTTCATTTAAAAAGTTGTGCTTGCATTCATAATTTTTTACTCTTTTTATTGATTAAATTTCTATTTCAGAGAGAGCGTAAGGGAAAAGATAAAAAGAAGCACAAGCGTAAGGGAAGAAAAAGGCGCTGTGTTATTTTGTAATGTAAGTTCTCATTTTATATTGACTACACAAGTGAAAATACTTTTAATTGACAAACTGTTATTATAGTTAGTTTGACAATTTATGTATTTTTATTTGTGCTTTATTCATGTTTTTTTGCTTTAGTCTGCATTGCACAAAGCATCCCTTTCCTTTGTTGGATCATATTATATTATATTGATTATAGCACTTGATTTAAATAATATTTCTGTGCTTTTAGTTAATTTTGTAGTTATAAAAGCGTCTCTTTTAATTGTTCCTTTTTGTTTTGTTTTTTAATTCCGTTACTGCTGATTTAAAAAAGCAAATGATGAGCAGAATCAAGTGAATGTAGCATCTGCAGATGTAATCCAATTGCAGATCTCTTATCCACTTTTTCCACATCTTAAATTCTTAATCATATCTATGAATTACCATAAGAATGTTGCCACAGATTTCAGAGTAAGAAATCTGGTGACTGTGACTAAAATATCTGCTGGTTTTTGTCATTTCAGATTTTTTCAAGTTTGTCATTTGGAATAATTATAAAAGAAAATCCGAGCAATAAGATTTTGTTTTTTAAACACATGCAATAAAAAAGATTTTGGATATCTAGTTTAAGAGTAACATTGTATTTAATGAAGAAATTGTATAGTATATACAGTGTACAAAAATAAAACAAACACGAATTACCCTAAATAACTTTTGATTTTTGTACTCAACCTCACATTTTAGAACTCAATTCTAATGGTTCGAAAGGCTTCAAATATGCTAATTATGAAATCAGGCACAAAAATGTACTTTTTCTGAATAAACATACATTTTTATTAGCGGTTTTCGGATTTCTGACCCACAAAACATAGGGGGTAGCCACAATCTGGGAAGTTTGGACCCCTTAATGCTAATTTTATGTTTATTTTGCCATAACTGAAAATTTTTTCAAGCGAATTGAAAATTTTTGCACGCAATTATAAAATTCGTTTAGTCAAAGATAAATCCATGCAAAAAAATCAATTTTAGTAAATATATATTATTTTTTATTGTTTTATTTAATAATAGTCCAAAACATTTTGAATTGTAAGGTATACTATTTTTTTATTTTAAAGTATGTACAGAGACGATTGTGCTCCAGAAAAAATCCGGATTTCCCAATTTTTCAGTAAACGCGATCCGGAAGCTTTCGGAAATCCGAGGTCCAAAAGTTTCAAGAAATTATTGATCACATTTATGTATTAAATTTTTTTTTAGGTTTTATTGAGAAATATTAGAACTCGAATTTATACTTTGCATCTCTTTCATTTGTAAATATTTTTTCTAGTAGAGTAATAAATGTGATTAGAGATAAAAGTAAACTTATGCATAATTATTCATTTAAATTATGCTGCATATAATTTATTTAGAATTTCATGCTGTGAAAACATCAATGATTTAAATTTATAAAGACATAAATTTTTTGCAATAGGTAATTAATAATTTTGTTAGAGAAATTTTCAAGATTTTTGAGTTGGACTCACAATCACCCCTGTATGTAGCTGTACATGGCAAAATACAAAATTTGAACAAAATCGGTTGAATAGCTTCTGAGGAATGGTATATTAAATCTACGACTTCTTTAAAATTCAAATTCTCAGGAACTATTCAACCGATTTTGCACTAATTTTGTATTTTGCCATTTAAATTTACATGATTAGAAATGATGTAAAAAGTTGCATACCTTACATTTCAAAAATTTTTTCAACTATTATTAAATAAAAATGAATATTTGCTAAAAAATTTTGTTTATATGGAATTATCTTTGAATAAACTAGTTTTTATAATTATGTGCAAAAATTTTTCCACACACTTAAAAAGCTCTTGAAATATAGCGAAAAAAGCAACTAACTAAAATGATTACAATTAAGGGGTCCTTACTTTGGATTGCTCTCCTGACCAAACTATGAAGACCATATTTCCCAAATTGCAGTTACCCCCTATATTTTGAAGATCAGAAATATGAATCCTTCGAAAAGATACGTTTATTCGGAGAAGTGCGTTTTTGTGTGTAATTTCGTAACTTAAAATGTCTACATTCATTAATTAGCTTATTTGAGGTCACCCCCTTGAACCATAAGGATAGAGTCCTAGAATGTGAAGATCTGATCATTAAATTGAAAGTTATTCAAGGTGGTCCTTTTTTATTCCGCGCATTTCAACACAAAATTTTTAACTATGAAGCAAATTAATTTTCCATAGTCTTGTTTTTTTTATTGGATTTCCAAAATATGAGCAAACCGTGGCTGCTTAACTCTCTTGGAATGAGATGGGTGTGCCATGAGAGGTCTATGGTTTTAAGTCTAACATTAATCCTTTAATAATACTAATTTGTCTCTATTAAAAAAGAAAAAGTATCAAGATGGTGTGAAGATATGAAGTATTTCAAAAATTGTACAGTCTCGGCAGGAAAAGCTTCAAATAAGGATAGATTTGTATAGGATATCAATATTCTGCTTTAACAAAAGGTTATTTAAGGGCTAATCAAATTAAGGGTTATACAGGTTTTTTTTTAACAAACAATTATCCAAGGTTCATAGTTCTCATGATAAAAATATTCTGTCCTTATTTGTCCTGTTTTTTAGTGTTTAGTCCAGATTTTTTTGTTGTTTTTTGTTCATTCAGAACATACCATTTCAACGTACACGCAATTTTAAAATAGTAATTAGAATTTTTTTTAAATACCTTTTACTGGAAAAGAAATAACTAAGACTTATCTATGTCAAAACTAGTATGGCTTAATTGCAAAAGTGAAATTCAAAAATAAAAAAAAATTTAACAGGAAAATTGGAACTTCTTTTTTACTGTCCCCTTTTCTTTAGAAGAAAGGTTTATTGCTGAATAAGTATTGGGAAAAAGTGTTTTTTTTTTTTTTTTAATTAAACGTAGCTGTTTTTACTGAATAGTTTTCTATTTTCGTTATTTTACCCCTCTTCTCATCATATGTCATAAACCTAATTATGCACTTGTTTAAATCCAAAATATGTCTGATATAAAAAGTTAAATACTGCTGTGAGTATCCTGTTAATGGCTCCTATTCTAGAAAATATTGTAAGTTCATTTATTATATTGTAAGCTATGAATTATCAAAATATATGAAGTAAATATTCTGTTGTAAATTAACTATTTTGTATTTGAAATGATCTGTGGTTATTGAGGTTTAAGTGACTCAATGTTATGTGTTATTTTGGTTTCTTTTCTGGTTTTTTTCTTATGATATTGCAAAAGAGACATTATTTATTTTTTTTTAGTCTTACATTATTTTTTTCTAAGCGCGGAAGGCTAGGGGGCTGTTCTTCCATCTGAGTGACGTAATGTTTTTTATATTTTCTCATGGCCTTTAATTTTGCATAATTTTTGTTTAAAATAAAAATTTCATGCTTTCACTGAAGATTTATCTATAAACATTAAGTTATAGAGTCATATTCCACAATTTTCAGGTTACAGTCAATGATTGTTAATAAGTTGAGAAAATAGTCTTTAAATTTGAGGGTTATTCATTAATTTTTGATTTCATAGTTTTAATACATTTCAAAATTTAAGTCGTTTTGGAATGCTCATATAGTTTTTTATTTTATTAAAAAAATAATTAACTGTAATAATTCTTAAAATCGCAATCATACAATAGTTTAAAATTAGAAACCGTCCACTAGTTATTCCATTGTTCAGACCTAAAATCTTGTTTCGGTCTTTTCTTGGTCATTCTATCAAAAAGGAACTCCAAATTTTTGCTAAATTTTTGATTTTATATGTCTGATTGCTAATTGAAAAATGATTTCACAGTTAAACTTATTAACATTATTGAATACTAAATTTTATTCTCTTATAAATCAAATTGCAGTGAAATTAATGTTTTTCTTTTCTTGTACATTTAATTTATTGCAAAGTTAAAAGTAATCTTAAATGTTCATTTATTTTAAGTTAGAAATCAATTTCTATTTTTTTTATGATGATTTTATTTGCAGATTATGATGTATTATGTTTTTAAATCATTTGTTTATTTTTCTATATACAGCCAAACCCCGTTATAGTGAACCTTCAAGGGACCAAAATTTCGGTTCACTATAACCGGGAGTTCACTATATCCGTTAAGCAGGCAATTTCACTAATGGTTCCCAAACTCCTCCCTTTTATTACATTATATTCATACAAATGACTGAAAAATATTATGTAGTAGCAAAAAATGTGTTATTTTTCATCACTCTTCGTCTTGCGTACAAAATTTTTTTTTTTTTAATCTTTAGCTGAAGAGCAATTCTCAACATCAGATATGGAAACACTTCCCGACTCTCAGATAATTTTTCCTGAATTTCTGTTATTCCGCTTTTTGAACCTGTCTAACCTGCCATTCGAGCACATTAAAGTAGTTTCTATAGATGGTTTTAAAAATCGGTATATGTATTTATTTTGAAGTAGAAATTTCAAAATTATTTGCAAAGAAAATGGGGGGGGGGGAAATAAGTCGAAGACAGAAAAAAGTTCATTATGTCCAACTTCCTCACTTTTTTGGTTCACTATATCCACTAAAAATAACATTATACGTGTATAGCAAGGTACGGGACCGAGCATTCCGTTCACTATAAGCCGTGTCCACTATAGCGGGGTTTGACTGTATTTATTCTTTAGTTAGTAGATTATATGATTTAGTTTTGAAGTAATTGATTGTTGCATGAACATAACTGTAATTATCAGTTTTCTTTTAATATAATTATTTTTTGTAAAATAAATAAGTTTAAAATTATGGTTCTGAAATTCCTCACTGAATCTGTGAAATCATCCTGTTTTTTTAGATGACTTCTGATCAAGTTTCTCCTATCTTAATTTTTTATTTAGAAATAGTGATGTTCATTTTTTATTTTCGCTAAAGAAAATGTTGAGAATTAAAGAGATGTCACACAAAGCAAAATTTTCAAAGCTGTGCATTGCACTATTTTTTAGTTCTTTGTTTTCTCTTCTAAAAAAATAACATAATGTATGTATATATTGCTTCAAAAAAGTCCTGATTTTTAATTGCTTCAAAGCCCGATTTATCATTCTAAAATAGGAATTGAAAGATAAAAACTTATTTCATAATTTAAATGGCTTTGTAATGAGCTGCAAGCTTATTTTAAGTAAGATTACATAGTAGACAAATGTTGCAGGAAAAGAGTGCCATGAAGCAATTTTAAATCTAGTGAGTTTCAACTCTGATAAGTTTGAGAGCCCCTGTTATGAAGTAGAGCCCGGCGAGTTCTAGTTGACTTGTATTCAAAGAACATTACATATTGCTACTATCTCTGTGTTCATTTGAGCCTTTTGCTTCAATGGGCATTGGCAGGCCTCTGCGTAATCTATCAAATGGAGACGTAAGAATTTATTCATACTCAAAACGTTGCATATAAATATATACAACACTGTACAATATTGTATGCATTCTATTTACAATCTGGTAAAAACGTTTACCTGTTTAATGGTTTGAGAGATCAATTAATGTTGATATTGCAGTAGTATAATAATTTTTTTTGTGTATGTCTTTATACACTAACTGTATGTCTTAGTATTCTGGGTAACAATTTTTATTTATTTTAGGTTATTTGGTTATAGTTGAAGACAAAAGCTATACTTTGCAGCCTGTGCTCTGAGCTATATCTCTGGAGCATCCATAATACTTGAACTCATTTCTAACAAAGTAATTTCTATGAATGTAAGTTTTTGAGGCTTACAAGTGTTTATTATAAATACAAAAACAGCACTGTGTTAAAAATGAAGCACTTTGCATCAACTGCTAAGAAAATTTGAATTAATGGACTGACATTTTTTTTTTCTGTGCATCTGGAAGTGCCAAAAAGGTACTTCTCACAAGCTGTGATTCCATTTAAAGAACATTTCTTTTTAGAAATTTCAATTTTTTTTCCATTATATCTCATTCTTTGCAGTTCACTGTTACTTATACAATTTAGCACAAGCATTTTTTAGAACTGTGCATCAAAGGGATTAATTAATTTGAAGGATAACTGCCATTTAACTATATTTACTGCACAGTGTTGTATTGTTTATCATCTCATGTGCTTTTTTTTTTTTTAGAATCATAATTTTTTCAAGACTGTCAACTTTTACTTCCTATAGAAATTATGAATTTTATCACTATTTTAGAATGCATGAAGTTTTTGTGGTTATTACGTGAATAAAATTTTTAAAAAAAATTGGCAATATATTTTAAGGTGGAATCTTAAAGTTGGCAGTTTTGTTTTCAGTATTCAGGGGTGATTTAATTAAGGATTAAATATTAATCTTTCAGTATTTTCGTATCTGTGTAATTTGTGCCATGTCTTATAAGATCCAAATTATCAGTAATCTGGATTGTAACATCCTACTAGGATGTTTTAGCTTTTGTTACTTTTATTTTGTTTACGTCTAAGTAATTGGTTTACTTATAATCATTAATTTCTTTTGTTTACTTGACATGTGTTATTCAACTTCCTGTGTATAATTGTTAGTAAATGAATATTACTATTAAAACTTTTACATGAATTTGTTAAATCACAAGCTTAACTGCTTATACAAATTATGCATTATAATTCAATCACTTTGAAACGTCTGCTCTTTGTAATGTTTTAGTAGTACTTTTTTCTATTTTTAATTTGATTTATTTAGTCTATTGTGAATGAAATCATGATTTTTATTTATTTTGCTTGTTTTGTGTTCAATAATAAGTATTTGGATCATAATGCACAGTCTCAAAAATAATCATTTTGCTCATAATTGCTCTGAATCATCACCCCTGAATCTTTTCAGCTATTTTCCCATCATGTAATATATTTGTGGTTTTATTAATGCTTATCTCAATCTTCTAAATATTATAAATACTGAAGCTAGACTTTCATGTTTTAAATAATGTTTTGTCCACATACTTGCCCAAGATCCCTTGAGTAGTTAGGCATTTTCTGTAGGTTTTATAGATTTATAGCTACATAAACTTAAATTGTATGTATGGGAAAAAATTTCAAAGGTGCTAAAAATAAAACTTTTTATCTCATCTTGGACTTATGTGTTTAGTTATCCTCCAGCTTTTATTGTATGGAGCAATAAGTAATCATTAAGCTTTAAATCTTCAGATTACCACTCCCCTTTGCCCTCAAGTTTATAAACAATGTTTGTTACATTTATTCTTTATTTACTTATTATTCAAGCTTTATGTAAACAGCATTAGCTTTTTAACAAAGCTCTGACAATCTTTAAGTCCACCTCATGTTGCCAATTGTCAAAATTTTCATTTTAACTTAAAAAGAATATAATGATAGTAGTTTTTATTTAAAAATTTAAGTGATCAACCTTTTAACTATATGTTTGCAGATATGTAAATAGTTTTTATCCAAAACTAGTTTGTTTCAAAAATTTATAAATAATTGATTATAGGGTTAAAAAAATAAATTTAGAATTGGTCTATTCTTCCTTACAAAATAAATAGCATCAACCATATCTTTAAAAAAATCCTGTTACAATTTTAATTTTCTTTTGTAAATTTTTTTAATGTTTTATCTTTTTTTTTAATAATTTTAAAATATTTACCAGACTAGGAATACTTAAAAAAATATTGTTAAATCACAATGTATAATTTTAATTTATTAATTAAAGAAATGTATTATAATTGAATATATTTTATAATATTATAGTTGAATTTTCTATAAAAAAATTAAGCTTAATAACTCATTTCAATGCACATGAATTTTTATTTTTAATTAGAATAGATTTAGTTAAAAACATTGAGCTCTTTTGGTGCTTTTCAAGCTACTGAATGGTGCTTTATGTTGCTCAGTGGATTATACCTAATACATATCTAATTTATTTTATGGAAAATAAATAGATATAATTAAAATAGATTGATTAATGATGGCTTTTAATTATTTTAAGCTATAGCATATCGCTTAGTCATTTATGAGAAAAAAAGTATGTTAACTGTTTAATTTAACATATGACTATTAACTTTTAGTTTTAAGAATTCTATTTTAATTTATAATCATAATAAACATTTGAAAAATGAAAGTTCAGTTTAGTATGTTGTAGCAAGCAGGTGTTTTTTAATGCTTCGTCTTACTAATTTTTGCATTCTTTTTTCTATTAATTTTCCCATTTCGTGTAAAGAAAAAAAAAACTATAAAAATCGAAATAAAATTTTCATGGTCAATACTGTTTTTCATCCTTTTTAATTTTTTGTATCTTTTATTAAGAGGAATTGAATGGTTTAAGAAAACATAAATATTATGTTTTTTTCAGACCTAAATGAAGTAATTTAATATTCTTGGCATATTGTTGGGATTATCATTTAGTGTATTGCTTGAAATTGAGTGGATGATGTAATGTGTAAATTTTACCTCATGTTTGTAAAAGTTCTGCTATAATTCTCTCTACTGTTAAGGCTTATAACTGCTTTTTCTACTTGCTTTAATATGTTTCAGAACAAATCTTTTAAGAAAGCTTTTTTTTCCCACTGCTTGATATTTATAAATCTAAAATGTCTGTAAGATATAAACTTTTCATTCTTCTTCAATTAACTTCAAAAGTTTTGCTGTTGAAGCAGTAATACTTCTGCTGTTGAAGTAATGCATCAGTGCAAATTTTATCACAGAGTTGGTCGTTGTCTTGTTAGAAGCAAATACTTATTAGCTCATTTGGTCAGCATTTTCTAAACTTTTAAAAGGCTAATTGTTAGCTGATATTGTTGGCATGTTGGAAGAAAAGAAAAAATATTTTACCCATTTTGTAGGTAAAACAATAAATTTAAATGCAATAATATATTAATGAAATATGAGGAATTTGTATGGAATGAATTTTATAATTAGACTTTAAGCTTTTTCACATCTGAGTAATCTGTTTTTGTGAAGGTGCTCTTGATGTAAAGTTAAAATTTTTATGTATGTTTTGAGGGGAAAAAAATGTGCCTCCATTTTTGTCCTGGCTCTTCAAGACATGTGTAAAGTATGTTAAATTGTTTTGAATATTTTTGTAATATAGTTAACTAACAAATTTTTTGTATAATTAAAATACCAATCTTTGAAATAAAAAAACAGCACTTCCATTACCAATATCTCTAAAAATATGCAACTTTGTTACAGAGATATCACAAATCTAAGTAAATATGAAGATCAGATATTTTGATTCTATGCAAATTCTTAAGTTCTCTAACAATATGCAACTTTATTAAAACACATTCATTGCTCACAGTAAAATAGTGATATGGTACGGTGGCAGTCTTTTATGTATTTTTATCTTAATATGTTAACATAATTAGTTTATTGTATCATTATCTTCTATTTAAATTTAAAAGGAAGAAAAAAAACTATAACCAAGAGAATTAAATGTTTGTAACAATATAGTGTTAAATTTATAATTCTTTTATGAAGTTATTAACGAAAACTCTTTTTAGTTATTATCCCAATATTAAAAAAAAGACCCTCAGATGTCAAGAATTTCAGAACTAAGATTTAAATATGCTTTCAAGCTAGGAAGCTGGATATCTAATTTACTATCTCAAAGTGTTCTATGCTTTAAAAGCGCCTCATTTCTCAAAATTGCATCAGTGACCACAGAATTGCACTTTTTTCCACAAGTTTCTGTGACATTGAATGTGTTAACATCTTGTTTACTTTTAACAATGTTATGCAAAGCTATGCATTTTATTATTTATAGGCTCTTATTACTAGTTAAATCACTTTTATTGACCGCTAACTTGTATTTTGCTATTTACTTAAAAGTTTAAATCATTTGAATGCAAAATCAAAAAGTTTAAATTTTGTATATGAAGAGAAATGTTACTGCAAGCTTAGTTTAAGGATGTATAGATAGGTTTAAAATAAAAGCAAGTATGTGTTAATTCTATATGAATCTAAAATCAAAAATAAACTGTTTCTTTGCAAATTAAAAATCAGAAAAGGATTCTATGTAATTTAAAAATCAGATGTACTGAATCTATGTTAATTAAAAATTGGAGATACTGATTCTATGCTAGCTATTAAATTTTTCTTCAAAGAGAAAATATACTTTTATAAAGATAAGAATAAAGATAAGAATATGATTTCGTGCAAATTACTAATTATTTCTAGAAGATACATTGGACTGCTTTTATCAAAAAAACTCGTTAAAATTTTTGTTGTTTTAATATTATTCAACTGTAAAAGTTTTTTTTATGCAATATTAAAATAACTAATTTTTCTAAAAATTTTTTTTTTTATATGTAAATATAATTTGGCATGTTTGACACTAAAATGGAATCATTCTTAATGCTAATAGTAATGATATTCCTTTGACTAGAAAATGTAATATTTAGATACTATGTACACAATTGTTTTTTTTAAAAAACTGTTTTTTCTATTAATTTAAAAATATTTGATGTTAATTATTGTTATAAAATCATTTTAAACACTAACCATCCCCATTTATTCTAGATGTGTTACAACTGCTATGAAAAATGGTCATTTGACCAGTTGATGGTATGGTCAGTAAACTAACCATAGTAGTAATATATTCCAAATAAAACTGCCGCTAAAAAATGTCAGTTACAGTATGGTTAGTGCCAGAACTATATATCATGTACAATTGAAATAAAAACTTGTCAATTGACCATTTGAATGTATGGTTAGTGTTAACTAGTAGTTATTTTTCCATTTTAATAAAGTTGTTCTTTGTATTGAATTATAATATCCATTACTGGATTAATATTTATGTTCTATTGGTATGTTCACCTGTTAGAATCTCTTAATGCTCTAAAGTTTGTGTTTTTATATACTTATAAATTTTGGGTCCAATTCTTCATGTGCTAGTGTTGCATATATATTTCTTGAGCATTCCTTTAGATTGGAACTTTGCTGTTGATCATAATTATGTGTTAGTCTAGTTATGTAAAATAATGCGAAAAAAAATGTTTTTGCTTTATTTCAGCATAAAAATTTGATCAGATATGGTTATGCAAAAATAATTAAGCTACTTTTTTTTTTTCTTTTGCTCAATAGGGAGTATTAATTGTTTTGTAGGTCATAAGCATGTTTATCTCCTCCAAATTTTCTTTCCTTAATTATTGTAAAAACAATATATTTGTCTCATTGAGTTAGCTGTAAATTTAAATATTTTTCATCAATTTCATTAATGTTAAATAGAGGAACCCTGAATAAATTATTTTTGTAATACTTGATTATGTTTTAACTTTTATTTATATGATACAATTCAAATTTATTTAAGTATTAAAGTACTGATTGCTTTTATTTTTCTCTCTAAAATTTTGCTCAGAATGCCAACTGTAGCATATAATTCAGATAGAAAAGGGGTCAGGAAGTGTTCATTTTTAAATTGAGTTATCTTAAGTTGCATTTTAAGTTTTGCTAGGAGGGTTTAAATTACCAAGATCAGAAACTAGTAATGTTATATTACAATTCTAAATATTCTGCTGCATTCTTTATGAAAGTATATTATTCCATTAGGAATCATTAATCTGTCTGGGATGTTTGGATTCCAATTTGAGATTTGGGAAAACCTGAATTATTGGGTTTTCTGTTATTGTGCTCTTAAATATTCTAAAAATATTACATTATTGTCACTGCAAGAATGTAATACATATTTTTCCAAGACTAAAAATTCATCTTACCCTAGTCTCTCTCTATTCTATATGCTCACACACCTTAGTTGTTTTGAGAATGTTTAAAAAAAAAAATTTCAAGCACCCGTAAGTTTTGTATTTTAAAGCATCTTTTTTCTTTAAATATCTTATAGTAAATGTTTTTTTTCCTCCCCAATTTGTACGAAAAAAAGTAGAAAAGCGATCCTTTTAAATATTTTTTTTCATGCTTTTTGAAATGTATGTTAGTGAAAATTTATTTTCTGAATTGCTTCATGTTATCTAAATTAATGTTTTTATTATATATTTGTTTTTTCTTTAATTGTAAAGCCAGGTTAATGATTGATTATATAGTTACTCAGATAAGTTGATTGTATATTGCAGTCTTGTAAAAAAAAAAAAAAATTAATAAAACTCACCAGAAATTAAAG